ATATCCGTCAAATCACACATCGGGATATTCTCTCAAATTATGAAATCAATAGTTTATTGGGTTACGTGTCTATTGGTTTATCAAAATAAAAAGGTACACGACAGAAGTAAAGCATCTTATGAACCACAACTGCTGTCGTGAAAATAAACGTTTTATTTCGCTCAAAAGCCTAGAATTGTTTTTTATGTTTAGTTCCAACAATTAAAAATAGTTTCCCTCATGTGATGCTTTGTGTCTCCTGAAACCGTCCATGCGCACAGATGACAGCTGTCCATGGAAGTTAAAATCTAGTTAGGTTAATTTAGGTGCCTTTCAACCACTTCTATGATGCTGATATAGTCAAAAATGTTAAATGGTGAAATTACTCTGATGAATCAAGAAGTGGTAATAATGACCTGGATAAAATGGCCTACTCGCACTATGCAAAGTTAGTGAAAGATAAATAAAGATTAAAGCTGCGAGCAGCGTTGGACGGGTCCTCGCAACTCCACACGTTGGGGCACCGGCCGGACGTAGATACGCTGCCAAGAACTCCTGCGGCCGCCGGACAGGGCGTCCACGAGTCAGTTGTCAATAACCGTGTGGAGCGACGCGAAATGTCATAGATCACCAAACCTTCTCTTAAATCTCATTCACCAGCCATATAATCAATTTCAGATGGTATTTAAAAAGGAAACGACCAATAGCTAAATGATAATTCCACTTCAGGTTAATAGTACACATCCCCAAGAAGTCCCTCGGTGATAACCAGGACATTCCGATGTACAATTTTATAAATTAAAGCCTCTCGAAATGCCACTTTCGTTTTATACTGGTTACTAGAAAATTTGACTTCCTGTTACCATTAGGTGGCGCTATGACTTGATTCAACTTTAAGTCTCTTCGGGCCCAGAGTCTCATCAAACATGTTTGAATTGGAATAAATCCGATGATGTGGAGTAGAGTTACAAGCAATATCAAGGTCTTACCAAATTTTGAGAGGGATCAGATAAACCTTTGTGGAGCAAACCTGTGAGGAGCAGGGTGTAAAATAAAAAAAACAATCAACTTCCTGTTTTTCCCAGGTGGCGCTATGACTAAGGTTAAAAATTATCATATGGATGTCTACAGGGTGAGAAGTTCATGCTATATGAGAAATATGGAGCAGATAAGATAAAGTATGGTTCAGTTAAAACAACTACAATTTTCATGCCAAATGGTGGTTTTTCAAAAATGCTCCCTACACACATAGTTTGGAATTTCTTCCGGCAAAATGCAATTTTATGAGCTAATGTCCTCGAGATCACACTGCGCAAATTTGAAAAGAATCAGGTTTAATCCCTGGGAGGAGTTCGGTCTTTTGCAACTCTAAAAAATAGGCCAAAAATAGGCTTAAAAAGGCAGATTTTCAACGATCAATTGCAGCCCCCCCTATTCTTTCAATGTTCACATGTGAAACAAGTTTGGTGAGGGCAGGCCAAATCATTTGAAAGTTATGACTCTTGCAAGATTAAGCCACACCCCTTGCGAGGTTCATTATCCTATATCTTCTCAAAACAAGAAGATATCAACACGATGTGACAGGGGTACATTGATCCAATAATGACCCACAGAAAATTTCGTGACAATCGGACATGGCGTTTAGGAGAAATGGCCAAAAACATGTTTTTCACAAAATTCAAAATGGCGGAAAATCTAGTTAGGAGCATTTGCATACGATGATTGACTTTTTTGTAGAGCATGTCCAAGAGCACATGTGTGTCAAATTTCAAGTTAATCAAGCATCGGGGGCGGAAACTGGCCTAGTGGGGTACCTTTTTATCTTTCTAGGGGGCGCTATGGAGACGTTTCTTCGTACCCAAATGCGAAACCCCAAAATGATAAAATTTTTCACCAGTTCTGATATGCGTGCAAAATTTAACAACTTTTTGAACATGATAAAGGCCTCAAAAAGGGAAAATTCCTTAGAGAGAAAAAAATAAGAATAAGAATAAGAATTCATGTTTTAAGCATGTTTTAAGGTTCCCTGACAAATTAGACTAAATTATAATGCTTTGATTTCCTTTTCCTTCTCTTCACAGGAATGAGGACGCCAACTCCAGCGTCTGCGTTTGTGCCAACAGCTGAGGCGAACTCTTTCCAGGCCCAGGGGAAGACCCTGCCTTCTCCCTCTGTTGACGCGAAGCAGCAACTGCAGCGCAAGATCCAGAAGAAGCAGCAGGAGCAGAAGCTCCACTCGCCCCTGCCCAGTGAGGCCCAGGTCAAGAGAACGGAGGCCAGCACTCCCGGCCCCACGATCCCCTGTGGCAGCCCCGCTCTGCTCTCCTCTCAGCCCACCATAGGCATCGTAGTAGCAGCTGTGCCCAGCCCAGTCACGGTATGTGGCTACCTCTTTCCCTCCGATTATGCTTCGTATTCCACTCAGGCCGAAATGCAGTTTTGTACTGTCAACATTTCTTCTCCCAGGTGCAGCGAGGCCGGCAGTTGATGACCTCACCCAGCCCGGTGGGGACTTCCGAAGGGAAAGTGTTGCCCGTGAACTTCCAAGTGGTAACTCAGTCCGTGAAACCGTCCCCTAAACATCCTCAGAATATCTCCGCCAGTCCTGTGAGTGACCGGCTGGCACGACACGGTACGCGCTACGCACAAATTCTGCCCAAGCCCTCTGCCACCAGTGCCATCACGCTGCGCTCGCCCCCCACCCTGCTCATCACCAACAACCCCATAAAACTGTGATGCCGACTCCCCACGTCAGCTCGGTTAACGTGGTGAAGATGACGGCCATCGCTCTGGCTCCCAGCAGCAGCGGCGGCACGAGCGTGCGTCCCGCCTCGGCGGGTGTCAATACCATAGCTGCTCTGGACGACTCTCAGCACCCGCACGGCGTACCCTCATTTGCCCCTCAGTCTCCTGCAATCCGAACCGGCCCCCTAGTCTCCACCCACATCCTGTCCTCCGACATCAAAGTGGTGTCTGAAGCCGCAAATGACAATACCTTTGCTGCCGGGGCCAAAGAGGGAAGAATGGCCAAGTTCCGGGCGGCCAGCGAGCCAAGCTTCCTGATTAAGTGTTCTCCCGGACCCGATAGAGGGTTAAGGGTAAAAAGTGACCCTACGCCCCCTCCCACCTCGGTAGCTGTAGCTGGAACTCTAGACAGCAATAGCATTAACTGCCATGGCAGCACTTTGTACTTGACTGTTGATAATCAGAACTCCATTGGAAACACGTCATCCAATGGCTCCTCTGCTCTTACCCCGACATCGAAAGATCCCTGCCTGGATGCCAAGAGCCCAAGAAAGCGCACAGGCCCCAGTGGGGAGGCCCACGTTATTCCTGTGAAGAGGGTGTTCATTTCCCAGCAGCCACTGGCTTTTATCGATAATCCCAAACCTGCAGTCAGTGCTGCTCTGAAGAGGATCCCCAGACCGGGAACCCCAGCCAGACCCGAGAGTGCTCCCTGCAAAGCGACTGTGAAACACACCTCTGCAGGGCCCTCGCAGATCCTTGCCCTCTCTGACTCGCTTATCACACACAACGAGGGCGCCCAGCCTGTTGTCAAACCCCAGGCCCTGCTGATGAAACGCGAGGATCATTCTCTCGCCGCTGATACAAGAGCAGCTGGAAACAACGCGCCAGATCAGGCGTTGCTAAGGCAGATCACCAGGGACTCTCTCACTATACCAGCCAACTCAGGAGCACTCAAAGCCTCTGTGATGGGGGACTTAAAGAGCACAATATGGGAGGAGGGACAGCTCAACAAGCTTCAGAAGCAAGCTTTTGCGCAGCAGATACCAGCAGAACCCAAACAAGCCCCTTCTGACCAACCTTCCATTATAGCTCAACCCCCCGAGGCCTCAGGCCAGCTGAGCCTCACGCAGGAGATGGTTGACTTTGCCGGTTCTCAGCCCAACATGGACTACTTCCCTTTCAACGACGACGACATGACCCAGGACAGCATCGTGGAGGAGCTGGTGCAAATGGAGGAGCAGATGAAACTGAAGGGTCTGTTCGGGAGCTGTGTGGATGTGTCCATCCAAGGCCAGTCAGCCAGCAGTCAAGGCTCTATCCTAAATTCTCACCAGGCCGGCCCTACTTTCTTCCACTCTGCCCACAGCAGCACCACTCCTGTCCAAACTCCGACTCCCACGCCGACACCCACTCCCACCTCTGAAATAACGCTTGGTCACAGCATGGCAAGAGAGAGCCCCTGTTCCCGCATGGCTCCCATCACCCCTGTTGACGGAGCCATGGGTCGCCACACCCCCATCAGCACGCCGCTGTCCAACTGCAGCAGCAGCGTTCCCCCGAGCCCGGTGGAGTGCAGGAACCCCTTCGCGTTCACGCCGATCAACTCGAGCATCACAGGGTATCATGATGCCAGTATTGTCTCCAGCAGCCCCGTTAAGCCCATGCAAAGGCCGATGGCGACGCACCCTGACAAGGCCAAGCTGGAGTGGATCAACAACCGCTACAACAGCAACTCTGCAGGTCTTTTGCCAAACCATAGCATTGGCATTCTGCCCAGCTACCAAGACCTGGTAGATGACCAGTTTCGTAAGCCACATGCCTTTGCGATCCCAGGCCATTTATTTCAAGCTCAGTCGAGACAGGATGCTGCTCACTTTGGCCGTTTGACCCCCATATCCCCGGTGCAGCAGCAGCAGCAACAACAACAACAACAACAGCAACAGCTGGTAACGAGTGTTAACACACCCACAAAACAGGAGAGTTTTGCTGTGCCTGCACCGTTAGACAACAAGGGATCAACCTCATCTGCGTCCAGCACTTTCCGTTGCCGCAGTGTGAGTCCTGCAGTGTGCCAAAGGAACCCCAGTGGAAACACCAACCCTCTAACCTACACCAATACCACCAACACCACCACCCGAGCTGTGGTTTCCCCCTTTAACTCCCCCATCACGTCCGAGGTGCTCAGCATCCCGTCCAACAGTCAGACTGTCAGCTCTGTGCACAGCATGGTTCAGCGTAGTCAATCTGTGCCCCTGAACATCATGATGCAGAGTGAGATGCTGCCCGTGCAGGGTCAGAGCAACACCGCCAAAATCACCAATGTCCTTCTGAGCAAGATGGAGACTGATGGCAGTGATTCTATCCGAGGCCTGGGCATAAACAACCTCCCCTCCAACTACACGGCCCGTTTGAACCTCACACAGATCCTGGAGACCACGCCTGGCTACGCTGGAGGAACCGCTGACCAGACTCTGCTGCCGGTCTGCTCCAGCCCTGCTGCCTTTGAGCTCCAGCAGCATGGCTACCTGACCACAGGCAGTGGAGAACAGGGGAGTTTCTCCGCTGGGGAGGGCCAAGCACAAGCAGGTCCTGGTGACCACCATCAGCAGCAGCAGCAGCAGCTCAGTGAGAGTCCCGCGCAAACGCAAACGCAGCTCCTCCTTCAGAGCACACAGCAGCCAGAGGCAGAGGACGAGCAACAGCAGCTGGATTTCAACAACACTGTCAAGGACCTGCTGGGGGACGATGGCCTCAATCCCAGTTCCCAGTTGGTGGGTCAGGTAGCTTCAGAGCTCAACGCTGTGGCATCTGACTTTTCAAACGACATCAGACTGACCTCAGATCTGTCCAGTAGCATCACTGACCTTAACACGTTGGACACCAACCTGCTGTTTGATCCCAATCAACAGCAGGAACAATACGAAGACTCCACACTGGAAGAGCTGAAGAACGACCCGCTGTTTCAGCAAATATGCAGTGATACTGTGAACTCCTTTGACTGGCTAGAAAGCAAAGACCAGCCTACTACAGTAGAGATGCTGGGCTAAAGTCATCTTTTACTCTACGGCTTCTGTACTCTGTTGTTTGTTTGGTGCGTATGTAGTTTTATCTGTTTTTAAACTATAGTTAGTTGGGATTTGTCTGGACTTTGCCATTCGTTCTGTTAAAAGTGCCAAGCTTACCAGAAAATCACTCCTACTGACGTTTAGTTACCTGTCTCCTTTTTCACTTGTCACCCAGAGATTCAGTACTTAACCATTTATCTCCCTCATCTGAAATTAGAAATGTAAGCATTTCAAGGAAAAAGAGTTCTTGGTGGCAGCATGCAATTACAAACCAAGTTCAGCTTTGTACCGTGTGACCAGTAAAGGAAACATAAGCTTCCTTGTTACAACCAGTCAAAAATGCAATATTTGTATTCAACAGACACTTAATGAAAGAAAGAGATGGACAGGAAATTTGGCACAAACGACCAAACAAAACATATGTTGTCGTTTACTATTTTCAATGTGTGCGGCTCAAGTTCTTCCAAATGAGACAATATTGAGATTGTGGTATATGCACATAATAGTTGTAGTACATTTGCCTGCCATATCTGAATATTGGAAAAAGGTGCTGAATTTAACACATAATCTTTATACTTTATCATTTACCGAACTGATTCACATCTGAGCATTGACCAAGAGTGAAATCTTCTCAAAGCCTGTACTTCTTGTACTGTTTGATATCTTATAAAAGGAGTATATGAATCAGTAGGGAGACGCTGGGAATTCAGGCCCCTCAGGGGACGATACATCGAAAGGCATCAACAACTGGTTGCCTTATTCCCAAAGTACAGGGCCTTATGCCATCTATAGAGAGACTGTATATAGTACAACGTTAAGACTCTTTAGAACCATCTAGAGCTTCATCATATCAAGGCAGCTGTTACTCTGTTTTTAGTACTTTTTCTTATTTTGGTTTTGCAGTGTAACAATATAGATGCGTATTGTATAGGCTAAAAAGACTACACTGTGTGCCCTTATCAGTAATGGATAAAGAGCTATTCGATAGACGGCCCATAAAACATGGCAGGCACACTTTTAAGTCAAGTTACGTTTTTTTGGCATGCTATACTCCCAGCTTGGATAATAATATCATTAGTATGGAGAAGGCTTAGTTACATAGAAAACAGTAGAACTTGAAGACATTTATGCTTTGATGTCATCTCGGGATTAAAAGGAAATTAAATTATGTTTGGGGAAAATCCAGCCTTATTTCCATACCAAAGATAATCTGTTTAAATAACATAAGACATTATTACGCGTAGACAGTCCTGGTAGACATTAACAGCAACAACAACAAAAAAGGGCGACCTCGGAGATATACAAGTTTTATTGCATTCGATGAAAAGGTCATCGAATGCACCGTCCTATGTTTCACCATGGCCCTGAGAGCATGTCGAAACCATCATGGTAGCCAGGTAGGCTATGTGGTAAAGTAGGATGCTTGCTTGAGTTTTTGGCTATTTCCAATGTTGTATAAGTCATGTTTAAGCTCCATCTGTAAATAGGATACATACATAGAGATTTGATGTATCAAGACACTATATTATGGCCATTATTCTAGCTAAGTATGTGCCATTTAAAAAGGAAAAAAAGCTTAGATCTATAGTCGGCAAGATTAGATTAGATTAGATTCAACTTTATTGTCATTGCACAGGGTACAAGTACTGAGGCAACGAAATGCAGTTTAACATCCAACCAGAAGTGCAAATAGCAAAAAGTGCAGAGTATGTGCATATGTAAAGTGTAATAAGTGAATAAATAGATATGTACAGTAAGAAATAGTTATGCAATATGAAGAGTAAGAAATGGATATACTATAACAGTGCAAATGTTCAGTAGCTGGAGGAAGGTGTGTGGCAGTCAAGCCAGGGTGGAGGGGGGAGTACAGTCACTGAGGGAGATGTGTGGGGGTGTGGGTGGGGGGCAGAGTTCAGTAGAGTGACAGCCGCAGGGATGAAGCTGTTCCTGAACCTGCTGGTCCGGGAACGGAGCACCCTGTAGCGCCTCCCAGAGGGGAGGAGGGCAAACAGTCTGTGGCTGGGGTGAGAGCCGCGTGCCCTCCAGACATCTCTTGCTCTGGACAGCCTCAATGGTGGGGAGTGAGGAACCGGCGATGCGTTGGGCAGTTTTCACCACCCTCTGCAGTGATTTACGGTCCGTGACAGAGCAGCTGCCGTACTGAGATGCAGTTTGTAAGGATGCTCTCCATGGTACAGCGGTAGAAATTCTCTAGAATCTGAGGCGACAGATGGGCCTTCTTCAGTCTCCTCAGGAAGAAAAGACGCTGGTGTGCTTTCTTTACCAGGGATGAGGTGTTGAGGGTCCAAGAGAGGTCCTCAGAGATGTGGACACCCAGGAACTTGAAGCTGGCGACACGCTCAACCTCCGTCCCGTTGATATGGATGGGGATGTGTGTGCCAGTTTTCTTCCGGAAGTCCACAATTAGCTCTTTGGTCTTATTGGTGTTGAGGGCTAGGTTGTTGTTGGCGCACCATACCGCCAGGTGCTGGACCTCCTCTCTGTAGGCCGACTCATCGTTGTCACTGATGAGGCCAATCACCGTTGTGTCGTCTGCAAACTTGACAATGGTATTAGAACCGTGTACAGGTGTGCAGTCATAGGTGAAGAGGGAGTAGAGGAGAGGACTTAGCACACAGCCCTATGGCACGCCGGTGTTCAGGATGAGGGTTGAGGAGGTGTGGTTCTCTACCCTAACAGACTGAGGTCTGTTGGATAGGAAGTCCAGTATCCAGTTACAGAGGGAAGTGTTGATACCCAGGTGACTGAGTTTCGTGATTAGTTTGGAGGGGATGACAGTGTTGAAAGCTGAACTGAAGTCTATGAACAGCATCCTCACATAGCTGTTGTTATTATCCAGGTGAGAAAGGGCGGACTGTAATGCCGTGGAGATGGCATCCTCCGTACTCCTGTTCTTGCGGTAGGCGAATTGGAAGGGATACAGATACTGTATGTTGTGTGTTACATTTCTGCCTCAGTGTGTCGTAAAAGTAATGCTGTCTCGTCTCGCTTGCTGATTTTATTTTGCTTTTTTTATATTCAAAAGTAATAGGTCTCTGCTGTTGCAGAAGTGATGTGTGCTTTGAGCAAGATCAATAGCATGGTGTATTGAGAAAAAACAAAGTGGTGATACTGTTAGCTGGTTGCAAGCATCTCTGTGACAGCCATTGTGCTCAAAGCCTTTCAGCAGACACTGGAGAAAAAAATTATTATTATTTCAACATACTTTGGAGGTTTACATTATTGCACTAAATTTCTATGACACATTGCTTTGCCACACCCTTATGGACAAACGTAATGATGGATGCCCAGAAAAGAAAGAAAAAAACGTTTTTTATGACGAGTAGGGAAATTAACCGTCAGAAAATGACTAATTGTCTTGTAGCAAAATGTGCATTAATCTCAGTGAGATACACATTTCTTACTCATTCTCATACATGAGAATATAAAGCATCGAGGAGGAGGGTGGAGTTAAAAACAACCTTTTGAAACCTACATGCTCAATATGTTGATAAACGATTGTACGCACGCCTGTGTGATGACTTCTGTTGTACTTTGTTCTTAACCACTGTCTTCTGTGATTTGGGCAGGTTGTGTTAACCAGACTGGCAGTGCTAGTTTCATGGGTTTGAGTGTTGAGTGTTAATGTTGTTTTATATGTTCATGATGACTGTTTTCTATTGGTTTTACATTCTCCTATTTTGCAAAAAAAAAGCCTTTGTGAAGAAATTTGAACATTCATTATTAAATAATAAGGCACTGATATTTGAATTTGAATGAAGGAAATGCACCTCTTCATGAGTACAGGAGCTCCACCTTCTTTACCTTTAACTGACCCAGAACCAACTCTGTTTATCTCTCTTGTCCATTTCTACTAGTAGAAGAAAAAAAACCTCCTCTGTGGTGTTGTCTGGTGTACTGCTTAATGTACAGTAGCTTGTTAATATCGCAATCGCATTGTTTCTTTTTTCAATGGAAAGTACTCACTGGTGAGATTTTTAAAGTGGTTTTAAAAGCCAATAAACTTTTTTAAAGAATGTTCTTGTGTGTCTGTGTGCTAATTATTATTTCTAATGATTATCACTGCTAAGTATTTTACTGGAGTGAATATAAAGTTACCTCCAAGTATTAGAGAAAGTAACTTTAATAGACATTTCAGTTTACCAATAATTATAATTGAACTGACAGAATGATTGAAGAGAAAAACAATGTGTCATGGCCAGTACTGGTAAAACGCCCCCTGGTGGTGATGAGATATTAGGAAACAAAACTAGGATCCATCTCAATACAAACTTTGCAAGACAGTTTTGATTGGACTGATGCTGCTTATGAAAGGAGGCTGTCAATATTTTTGTCAGATGGAGTAATATATATATATATATATTTGGACAAACACTTAATATTTTTCTTAATCAAATACATGCAAGCCTTCCCCTCACCCTCTTGGCTTGAGGTTAGAGGTCATCAGCTCTTCAGGTGCCTCCCAGCATCTCGCTCCAGCCAATCGGAGCTCAATTTGTTGGCCCTCCGCTCTGCTTCCCCAGGGCCTCATGGTATTCATAATATGTTAATGACCTTAACCCCATTGATTACGGCCCAAAAGCCGAACCTTTAGCCATGTGGAGCCCAGCGGTAATGTCCACCTCCGCAGCATAACATTTGGCTGTGTGGCAATACAGAAATGTTTACTGTTTGTATAGAACATTTCAATAATGGGGGTATGGAAAGCTACAGATAGTGTGGCAGCAATACAGACATGTCATCAGTGGAGGTTTTGCAAGGGTTGAAACAAAATATAATTTCTTGCATGTTCTAAACAACAACACATCTACCAGAACTCCTGGTAATTATCAGGATATATAGATGGCTTCAAGTCAGCCATCTAATGAATTCAGACATTGATCCAGAGATTGGGCCTTTTGACAATGACCCTCCCGTTTCGCTGCTCTCATTCAATAGCAACACAATGGGCTGCAGCTGTGAGGTCAGCCGTGCTGTGTCAGCAAGACGCACATCCATTGATACAGGTAAATGCAACCATCACATTCAGGATGGAAACTGTGTTGTGCTTTCCAAATAGATAGATCCAATAGATTAAATAATTTGTTTTCTTCAATGTCTATAACTTGTCATGTAATGGTTTTAAGGAATTACTGTAATTGTATTTATTACCACCAAATATTCATTTAATTAGCCAAAAGCTTAGTTGTAATTCCAAGCTGAAAATCAAAGGCCAGGTTAACAGCATCCTGGCATGTATTTACTCAATAGTTTAGATTTCAAATGACTTAATGATTCAACGTGTATTCAAATGACCTCTGTATCGGTACGATATGTGACCTAATGTTAACAGTTTAATGGGATTGTGTACACCTTAACTAAATTAACGTTAACGTTACCTAGCGGCAACGTTAATTAACTTAGGTACAAGTTCGCTATTTTCTTTAGTTGATGAACTAACTATTTGCCTAACCTTTTTGACGTTGCAGCTGTCAAAATCTTTGATGTCGGACGAGGGAACGATTTCCTTACACCCGTCGTCAAAATACTTCACATAGGCAAACATCTTTAATACTGTTTAATTTTTGTTGTTTGAAATGATCTCAATAAGTCCGTCAATGTCCGTTGAACGATGTCAAGGTCTATGCGCAAGGGAATTTGAAGCAAACAGCGGGAAGCGTGTGTGGTTTGAGACCTGCTGTTGCCATGGATACAGTCGAAGACAGTACTGCCTTACAGGTGCTGTTTTACATCACATAGACACGGATAGGAGAAAAGCGATGAAGTTGTAGCTGTCGCTTTTTTTCATCAAATCAAAATATCCATGAGGTTATTATACTCAAGTGGCTCAGATACTACATTGATTAGCATTTAAATAGATTATTTTGTTAATTTTCTGTTATATTAATGATGTACATATTTTTAATTTCAGAATGTCCAAACGCAGGTACAAATTGTATTTGGAGCCGAACAACAAAAATACAGCGTTCAAGACCGAAAAGTAGTCTTGCATTCAAAAGTAGTTTGAATGCAAGTCTACTAAGACACATATGTGCTTCCCCCAGTTCGTTTTTTCTTACCTTATCAAGTTCTTTTAAGATAAGTTGAAATTGCTTTGTAAATTTTAAAATCTACCTCAGGCTTTGGATTTCATAGAAGTGGACGGAATCAGTCCTCACCTGAGCACTACAAATGTGGAGGTAAGATGGTTATATGCTCTTCAAATATTTGGTGACATGTTATTTGACACTGGCACTGGCACTGACACTGACAATTAAAGACAAGTGGTAATGTTTCAAGGAGTATTTAAACGCGTCAAAACAAACTTGAAACACCAACCCAGGGGACCTCACTTTGATAGGCAAAAAGGGTCTCTACACTGTTATATTTTTATGTTAATTGTGGTCTAAGAAGAGTGCAATTACATCTAATAATATATACCTTTTGTTTTTTTTGTAGGTTAAAATATACAATAGGTGTTAGCATACTTAATCCCATTCCCTCAAACACAATTTATTATTTTTTTTGTAGACTTAACTAGCTGCTCCCTGGAAATCATG